CACTGATCTTTGCGACAACCAACCTTTCGTACCGGTGATCCACGATTATCGTTAACCATCGGCGTAGCTAGGTCCCCCAAAATATCCACCTCGTACCACTAAGAAGCGAATAAAAACCGTGGTTACGCCAATGTGTCTAACGCTTAATGCACGATTGTCGTACAAGCTGAAGAGAAATTTTCAAACGGAAACGTTTTCGAAACCTCCCTCGAGTAACGTTGCTTCTCCGCGTATTTGGCGCAAACTGAATCATCGATGCTACGCAATCGATGTATCATTCTTCCCGAAGATGTCTGATTAATTATTAATGCGAATATTACAGTGAAAAGTTGTTATTGTTTGTTCACGGTTTTCGTGATCGATGATACATCTATTATCCGCGCCTCCTTCCATTCTATTCTCTTCGCTCGTCGATGCAAATCAGCGAATAATACATCGACTACAAACTACGATGCGAGTGTTGACGGGATGACCGCTTCCGTTTATCTCATTCTGGGTAAACAGTTTCCTATCGATTCAGTTGTCAGGCTACAATTGGAGTCGACGAAAATTCTGTCTAAACGAAACATGCGGGTTAGACGTGTACCCCGGAATTTCTAGATCGCCGTGTTCCTAAACTCCTGGTTTCACGTAATCGAGTTACTAAGAAAGAACAAACTTCGCGCTGGCAATGAGTCATTCAACCTGTTAATCAACATATGAGTGTTCGCTAAAGCAATCGTTTGTACACAAAGAAACACTCGTGGTATAATTTACACCGTTAACAAGGGCGTTCTGAACAATTGAGCTCATGAATCAACGGGTAGAACGAGCGGAAATGTGGAAACGCTAAGAAAGACGGTAGGGACGGTGCCCTTCGTGAATGAGCGCTGACCCAAGGCGTGATAAGGCTTCCTAATCGGCGAACGATTGCAATGGCAGACTCGTTCTGGAGTAGAAATTTCCTGCAAATCAAGGCACGAGTACGTCTTCCATTCACGGAAGTCGAAAACACGATATCGGTTGGCATTCGAGAACCATTTACGATTTACGCGATCCTTTCGCTCCTTCGAACACGTGCGCTCGAGGTGAGTCAACGTAACGGAACAACGTGTACTCGAATTTTACAGTTAGACACAGTTACGTTAAATTTCTTTGCCCGCTCGATGCACGCAGACATCTGCACGAATCCCATAGAAAAAGTGGAAAGAATAGGGAATTATAGCGTGCAGACTCGTTTATTTCGTTTAACCGACTATATAAGAGGCGCTATAAATCGCTGGTCGAAGAGTGATTCGATAAACGGAAGTCGCGATGAATCGACCTTCCCCGTTAGACGATGCTTATAATTATGCTCGTCCACTTAATGAACGTCGCGTCGCGTCTCGTCTCGCCGTGCCAAGGGTTGCCACTGATGGCAATCGTTTTAGCTCGTTTAAAATAAATATAGAACAATTCTATCCGGGACTCGCTTTCTTCGAGAATTCCTGTCGGCCATTTTCACGATCCGCTTTCTCTTCTACCAAATTGATAAAGTTTGCGGAGTGTAAATTACATCCAAGGGTGTGAGTTTCATGGACTTACTCCTCCGAATTGATCAACTTCGAATTAATCCAGGCCGGGTAGAGGCGGTATGCGCCTTAAATACTACGCGAAATTTTGCGGTAATAGTTTCCCAGGTAAATTATTACAGAATCTCCGTTACAGTGCTTAATGGATACATGTTGCGTTAGCGTCTTCGCGAGATTCCTAACGCAGGCGCGCTGTGTACATTGCCTAATTGAAGAATTCTTTCCTTTGACAAGCACGAAATAATTGAGTATCCTCCCGAGTAGATATTTACCAAGTTCAAACGCGAATAAACATGAGGCCAAATAGGAAATCAGACGGAGAAACCTACTCGTTGTTAGCCGTGCGCAGAAACGAAAGGAAGATCGCGCAAAGTCATAAGCGAAACGTTAAGTTAACCGCAGAAGGAGGAGCAAAGAAAATATTTTCACGGTACGAAGGAAGAACGGAAATGGCGATGAATCAAGCTTCCTCGTTAAGCGACGCTCTCTGGCAATGCAAGCGAGTACACACCTCGTCGGTTCGAAGAACCACTTGACCGTGTCAACGTCTTCGAGAAGGATGGATTAATCATCGATTAGAGCCGATCAAGTTGTCTTTGAACGTAGTCGGAAAGCTCGTCGCGTCTTACGATCAATGGAACACCGACGCAATGTCTTCGACTACTTAACTAACTTTCACTCTCTTTGTTTTTCCATCGAATCGAACGTCTAATCGGTGAAACAAAATTAGTATTCACGTCTCTATTAGTTGGTTATACGGCCGTGATAACGCCACTCAACATGCATAGTTTTGCAACTTATCAACCGTGGTTGGTTAATTAGCCCAGATCCAGCGTCGATATAGTGTAACTACTCCAACCAGTATGTTTATGCATCCTCCATTATACACGGATGTTGCTCATTAATTATAAATTTAAATAGCAGAATGCGAGCATGCACGAATCGGATGACTTTCAATAGGAGTGTGATTTAAATTGGCGTAATTGCTATGCAACGTTAGGGCCGCAAAGAGCTCTAATTAAGAAACAACAAAAGGATGCACGGTTGAAATTCTTATCCGATTAAAAATAATTTTCTAATATCTCCGCTTCATGAATTATTAATCTTTTCCGTGTTTCGATCGGTCGTAAATCCGAGAACAACGATCTATTAATTCCGTATACTTTCATTCTCGATTGTTTACAAATTTGTCGACAAAGTTAGAAAATTGTATGCTCGTAGCCGGAATTAAAATCATGTATCCTATTAACCAAACGCGAAGTTAGCGTGAAAAGGTAAGAGGATCGCAGGAACAAGGATGACGCGTCGACGTAGTACGCGCACGAAACGAAATCGATCACGACACTGCGTTTTAAGTGGATCGCGTGGAAAGGATAAATGTCGCGAAAGAACAGACACGCGGGAAGATGACGTTTCGCTAACGAAAGTTTAGCAGGCACTCTCAAGGACTCTCGACGAGTGCCTTCACGGGCTAGCGAGCGTTCCAAGAAGGACGCGTAAAATAACGAACGTACAACAACGCGGATCGCGCGCCGCTACGAATAATTAAGCCGTCGTTGATGCTGTTCTTTTTCCTTCGTCGTCGTTGAAACCGTCAAGTTCTTGTTTCAGCGTCGCTTAGCAAACAAAACACGGGATATCGTTTTGCTAGGAAACCAGGCTAGATCCTTGAAGGGAACTCAACGGAGATTCGTTAGCGCGCATTGTTTCGCGGGCTGCGACTAACTCTCTAACTCCTGAAAGCGTGTACCCATCGCTGAGTCAACCAGTTTGCTCGTACATGCGCTACGAGTTTCGCAACGTTCGTTTTTGTTTCGAGTTAAGCTTTCTGGAAAATTGTGGCGTCCTTCTGCTGCTAGACAGCATTTGCTTTATATCGTACGTGTTGAATCGCGGCGTTAGTCATGGCGCGAACGTGTACGCTCTAGACAATGGAATATTTGAGAGCGGAGCGTGCGAACGATCTTAATACGTAATCATACAACGCGTGATAATAGCAGGCGTAGCCGTATAACCCGAAAAAAGATCGGCGCTTCGAACGCGAAAGCGATCGCGATTACGTACTTTCGAATGGAAGCAACGCGTACGTATAAGACTCTATATTATTCTTTTTAAATGCACCGTATCCTGATAAACGATTAAACCAGATTCCCATAAATCCCCGATACGGTCGCGTGTATTACCTATTTACGAGTATAGTATGCTCGTAAATCTTTATCGATTCGTTCGACGATCATCCTACCCCTACCATGGCGGAGATAAATTTTTCAGCTGATCCTTTCTGGTTCTACGTACATGTACAATTCTCTACGTTTCTTTCCCTCGCGACAATTACTCATTCCGATAAAGCGCTCGCAGATAACCAGTTGGTTTATCACTTTTGGTCGAAAGAAAATGTATGGCGAGAGCAGAGCTTCGCATTAATATATTCGTTAATGGATCGTATTCGCTCGAAACCCCTTTTGCTATACCAAACTTTCACCTAAAAGCGATCACGTAGTCAATTCCTATGGGTCACTTAGCTTATACTAAACTCTGCGAATACGCTCTTTGGTAACATTGTCCCTAGTTTACTTTGGTTATTGGAGTTCGGAACAAACGAAATGAAATATGCATAAAAGCGATTTCAGATGCCAAATTGGTACAAATATAAAGTGACACGATTCTGATCGTGAAAAATAAAGAAATTAGATCCATAAAAGTGATGAATCTTATCGCTTTAAATTTCCTTTTAATATCGAAGAAGATATTAGTGTACGTCAGAAGATTATTCCCCAAATTGAAATTGATAAATTATAAACGTAAATAAATAAGCATCAAAGTCGTGGAAGAATTTTGATACGATGAACGACTACAACTAACATTAGTACCCGCAGGTCTTTCCGTCGAGGACGACCATACTCGGCGTTAGTAGGGTTAAGCGGAGTTTGCATTGTTTGGCTACTCCAAAAGGCTCTACCACGCGCGATTAACGATGCACATATATCGCACCCCATACGAAATTCCCCCATTCGTTTTCGCGTTAGAATAAACGTTTTGTAATAGAAGTAAACTCGAACGAGTTTCGATGTTTCGATTCGATTTTTCTTTTCGCTTGTCACGAACGTAAACCGCACGTATCGGAGCGATATACGTGTACCTGCATAGGATACAAGACAGTCAACCGGAACTGGTTCGCGAATGTCACACAAAATCGAACTAATCGCCACGTACGATTTACGTATTCAATGAGGATTAGTCATTGCGCGTACACGCGGCATTGTGCGACGATCGAGTAGCTTGATAAAAAATTGTCTGATTATCGTCTAGCTTTTGAACGCGTCAAGCGTTTCAAACAAATGCAACGTAGGTTAATAACCTCCCGATCGAGAGCCAATGAATACGCGCGGTTATCGAATCGACTGTTTATCGATGTAACTAGTCAAGAAAAAAGAATCAGAGATAACTTACCATGGCTCTCGGTGTACACGTCAGGTAGAATCGCGAGCAGCACCAAAACCAGCACCAATTTGCACTGCACCGTCACACCACCGACGATGCATCGCCAATTCGAGCACCGAATATCACTTGACATGTTTTTTCGGCCAGTGATTCGCAGTACACGAGTCTCACGCGAACGTCATGACAACCGCTTATCACGTTTTTAGCTTCCGTGCTCTATCCGTTTTCGTGACGCGCACACCTCCCCGTATTGACCACCCTGCCAGACTGCTTCGTCGGTCTGGTCTGGACTGTTGCGACACCTCTGACAGAACCTCGACCCCCACCTTGTCCGCGTATCGAACTACCGAAGCATCCACGAACGTAGCCGAAGTTGGCCGAGCTCGTAAGGCGCCGATACGAACCGCGTTTAAACTGACAATTATTCTTTCCCTTCGTGTGTTTTGCTTCGTGCTTTTTATTCGATCTGTTTCATTTTTCATCTTTCATAATCACCGTCGTTGCGTTCATTTCTTTCTATTGACCTCTGCAAATACGGATAATCTGTCAGTTGCTATTAATAAAAAACGATACGAAAGTTTATAGGCTACGGTGGAACACAATAATACGATTGTGCGAATTTCTTAGTGGAATTTTTTAACGTAACATAAGATATTCTTATTGTGAACGAAAATCGGAGAGAGGTAACGTTTAAACGTTCACGGGATTCGAAGAAAAAACGTGTCGTGCTTTTTTCTCGTGCATGGATATCGATCAAACTCCGTACGGAACTTTGGCTCAATCGGTTCGACGATAAATTGAAATATAGAAGTTCTCGCTTATTGTATTCGAATTTCTATCATGGAAGACTTACGAAAAGAATTGATAAAGAGAATAGTAAATGATTGCAAGCAGTACAACGTGCATACGACTAAAGATTTTGCTTCCTTTCTGGTAAGTACTTCAAAGGGTATGATCAAGTTAACCTACGTAAATTGTAAATTGCTAACAACTTTCTTGCGTTATTGTGTAGCTCACTTTATTTCAATTAAATCCCAAATACGAAATTAAAGAGGACGACGATGAACACAACAAGGAAATCGTCGATGTCATAGTAGAACGGTTACGCGACCAAGATTGTCCATGTTTAACAACGCTAAAAAATCAACTGTACTTTTCTAAACATTATCACGAAAGAGGTCAGAGTTAATTTCAAGTATTCTAATTAACATGCGTGCCGCATTAACGACTTATATTCTATTAGAGGAAACTGTTAAACGGCATAGACTGCGTTTACATCAAAAGACGGGACCTATGGTGGCAGAAATTTGTGAAACCGAGAAAATTTCCAACAACACGGAAGCTGAAAAGTTGTATCAGAAGATGTTAGTGGTTATCACTGTATTGAGTGGTCTTGGAAACCCTACCGTACCACGTGTGCTTCGGTAATATAAAACGATCTTATTATCTTCTATTTTTAATGTATCATATATTCTGTACCTCAGCGTTGCACAGTTTTAAATCGTTACGCATTAATTCGCAACGCGTTGTATTGTTATGCGATAAATTCATTTATTCTTTGTTCTAGGGAAGTCTCGGTCGCGCTGCAAAGCGTATTTCAGCCTTCAGAGTTGGGACAATACGTAAAAATGTCGAAAAAGGAAAAGGAAGAGCACTTGATGGAACTGATGTGTATAGTCGCAGGAATACGTTTGTTCAACAGAGATTGTCAACGTGGTGGCGAAGGCATAGACGATTGTGAGTCCTTATCAACCTCATGAATGAATACCATTCAAAAGAAATTAATCGCTGACGAAAGACGCCTTTTAGTACCAGCCATTCTACAAGAAGCTGTTAAAAAGACTCACGATTCCATTATGACATTTCTCGAGCAGTTAATGTCAAAGATTTATAAATTCACTGCAACCGTGGAGAAAGCGTTCTTGATGAAAGAAATAATACCGTACGGTTTCTTTACGAACAAAAATATCCAGTGGGCGAAGGAGATGTTGACCGCGTGTCGGCAACAAGAAATTTATGTCAGGTTGCTTTGGCTAAACATTTTCTAACGATAATTTTTCATTAGACTCTAGAAACGTGTACTGTCGTTATATCTGTCGTAGAAAATTATTAAACGACGTGGAACACAGCGATAAGCAGATTCAAGACCTGCTGGAAAAACTTCAAGGAAGGTTGCTTAAGCTTCACGACACTGTCAGATACAGAACCGCTATCCCCACTGTTCAAGTCTATGTAAGAACGTGCTTTTATTTCTTGCGCCAAGTTTTGCTTCTTGCAGAAATCTCGTTGACGACTTGTTTAGCCACAATTCATCGATCTAGCCGACACATGGATGGGATTCCAGGATGAAGTGATCATATTGAGCAGCATCAATAATTTTCTTTGGGAATTACAAAGTCTCGGCACAAGGGTAATTATCAAATCCTCTTATTCTACAAATTAATCTATCGTTAAATATTTTGATACTTCACAGACCGTAGGTGTCTTCAACGAAACAATACTGAACAATATGCTAGCCAACGATGAAGTTCTTACGGACGCTGAGAGATTAGAACGGACTATGGGCACACTGATAAGTAAATAAAATAAATCATCAATTAAATCAAGTTCTACGATTAATGAAAAAACTGCAGGTTAAAGTATGATTCTTTCTCAGCCAAATGCGGTGAATGCACCCTCTATTATCCGAACGAAACGAAAGATTTTGAAAACATAAATCTGGAGGTAAGATTGCGTGGTAACAGAATCAACCATTACGTTACATCCTGCATGGCTAACGTAACTTTCCTAGGTTAATGAATTCGTCGTCAGTTCTTAGGATTTTGCGCGTGGACGTTCGTATGTTGCCGAGGAGCACTGGTCCCGGGAAATCCGAATAATGGAGTTGCTAAATGGAGAGGGAAATATTATGTCTTCTGTTCGAACTTCGCGGCCGAAAATTTTGGCAAAGATCCTGACAAGTATAACCATCAAACGTAAAAATAAATCATTATCGATGTCATTGAAAATATTCTTTCCTAACAGATGCATTTACGAAGCCCTCGATTTTATACGAAATAATTTGGAGTACGTATACCTGTTTCAAGTATACAACGACATTCAAGATTTGAAAACGCAAAAAGTGTAAGTATCATAATCGTATATTATATGAATTGAAACTGTTAAAATAATGACACGATCGATAAGACCGTCGGAAGAGGGGCCTCAAGTAGTAACTATTCAACATCAAATGGTTCAAACGGATGTTCACTTACTTCCACCCTTTATCGACAAGGATTATGCCTCAAGTATTTGGGAACTAAGAAGAAAAGCTTTGCATTTGGTAAATATCACTGACAGAGAGGAGAATAAGTAAAGTTCATAATTTGTTTTTTTTAGGCAAACATAAGTCGATGCGCGACGCATAGCACACAAACATACAAGTCAAATTTCCGATACGGCGTTTATGTGCAAGCTGCACCTCCTAGAGACAAAGAAAGTCAAACAAGAAGAGATAATTACATGAACACAAAGAAACTGTTAACTTACATATTCGGTCTACGAGGACGATACGACGACAATCAGCACGTACTATCCTTCTTGGAAGACGAATTGGAACACTTATGACCTTATGATTTTACTAGTGCAAATAACCTAAATGGATAGGATGTATCAAGGATTATCCGCGCGTGAAAATAAAGCTGCAACGAGCACCGTTAAAAAAAAATGAAAGCAATATCTTTTAATGACATTTTCAAATACATTCACGGAATATCGGGGTATAATTCGCACTTTTCCCCTTGTTTAAAAAACAAACTGGTATTACTTTACTTCATCATTCCGTGTACACATTAATTTTTGTCGTTATCCGCGTTGTAAATGTTTCCCTCCGTCTCGTCGTGGAACGTTGGCAATTTCTTTTCTTGTTCTTCTTGGTGGCTTCCACTGATTTAGGCCAGCATTCGTATTAATTTATATTCAAAATACACAAATTTGTTCCATAGATCGAGGCATGGATATATCTGCATCAGCAATAACGTCCTTACCTCGCACCATGAACCTAACTTATTCTCTACACTTCAACATTGCGCAGTGCTGCACATACTGTGACTTTTTCTTTTAATATGCATACAATTCATCGTACCTTCGCTGTAATACATTGTCCACTTTGCTTCTTTTAAATCTTAAAAGTTAGGTCAATTTTTTTACACCAAGAAACCTATATTACGACAATAATTAGTAATTACACGATAATACAATTAAATTTCGCTTAGTAATAATTTCAGTGTATAATGTAACTATTATACAGAAGAGGTACAGGATGTTGATTCTTTTTTCGTATCGTCCGTCTCTTTATTTTTATCGCACTTTTCTTTTTATTTCTTTTTTATACTTTTTTTCTTTTGTTTTTACTAACTTTACCTCATATTTTCTCTCCTTTTTATTGACAAAATCAATTTTGTCTCTCTATTACATCCATTGTTCAAAAAGTAAAAATTAAAAGGATGAAAATATTGTGTGATACTTGAGCGGCAGTTTATAATTTAAAAGAAAAGGAATTATTTCTATTTGATTTCTTCTGATCGTAGAATGCAACCAGGCTAATGTCACATAGTAAAATTAAATAATAATATAAAAAAAAAAACTTAAAATAGTTTCAAGATATTACCTTGTTCCGACTTTACTGCCACAATGGCACACCGTATTTTCATACCCGGTAAAAGGAGGGGAGCTTGCTGCTCTTTAGAAGAATCACCAGGCAAACGATAGACCATTAATTCCGAATACATCGACTTAAAACCAACTTATTGACTATCGGTCATTTTAAATGTTTTTCACGCTCGAACTCGTCCGACCGTCCATGGTATCAGCTCTTTCTTTCTGTATTGCACCAACGTCTAGAACAAATCTATCGTTGATTTACTGCCAGTTGTGGGTCATCTCGGATTCGGACAGCCTTTTACAATATTAACGAACCACGCTTTTTTTTCATAATGCCCATAAATCAAAGTACTACATTGCGAACATTTGGCGGAACAAAGCGGCTACCATGGACAACAGAGTACATCGGAATGGTGTAAACATGGCTAACATCTTAAGTCGCAAGAAATACGTTTGTGTTTTTATGTCTATGTATTTATGTATGTATCGTGTGGAAAGATGGAGAGATGCATTTTGCACCCTTGGAATATGTTATACAATGTTTATAACCTGTCAGAGATCAATGGTTCATAGATGATTTAATCTACAAAATGATTTTTAAGGTACTTCATCATACCGAAAGTTCTGAAACGTTTTACTCCAATTACTTTCATTAATTCGTCATCGCAGATTGCGAACTGTTTATTCTTAGGATCCTGAAATCAAGCATCATACATCGTTAGCACGCTTCCGGTGCATAAGGAGAAAAATGAAGTATCTAACAACAACCTACGAAGCCTAATACTTACATAAAGATTTCTCTCTTTGATGATACTCCAGACTTTCTTTACAACTTCGTGTCGAGCCATTTGTTCGGCACCAACGACAGCAGCAAGTTCCGGAGACAATGTAATAGCTCGGGTGTAGCCACCTTTACCCTTACCGCCACCACCACCTTTTTTCCCTCCACCACCTTGAGCTTTCTTATTTTTACCCCAATCTTCGTCGCTGTCGCTATCGCTACCCTTTTTCTTTCCTTTTTTCCCAGTTTTACCTGTTCAGGAATAAGGTAAATACACAGAAACAAAATAGAATATCGAATCGATCGTAGGAAACTCGAGTAACAGTTTACTCACTTTTCTTTGGGGTAGCTTTTGGTTTCTTTGGGCTATACTCTTCATCGCTAGCATCATCGTCGCTTGCGCTTTCTTCGTCATCGGAAGATCCTTTCTTACGTTTACTTATCGCTTTCTTTGCAGGACCTCTTTTAGCTGGTTTCTTTTCTTCCTCCTCCTCTTCCTCCTCAGATCCCTCTTCTTCCTCCTCCTCTCCATCTTCAGATTCCTCGCTAGCAGTCTTCTTCTTCTTCTTTGCTCCATCTTGCTTCTCTTGCAAACACTCCATCACTAAACTGTCTACTTCTTTTTTCCTATATACATTTAACATATTTTGGTGAATGCAGGGAACATATTAGATATTAATGGAAAAAAAAATTCATCTTCAATGCAAATGTTGAAAGAGGAACGACAATGAAACTTTATAGGACCAGTTCCACGCAGATATCTTTCTTTTTATCTAGGACAAAAATGAACTAACTCTTAAGTAATTCGAACAGAAGAGTGCCTGTTATGTCCATGATTCAGTATTACATGATAACTTGTTACATATTTTCAACCGTAACTTACCTTTCAGTAAGATCTATGTCCAATTTTCCTTCGATCTGTAGCCTCACTTTCTTAGCAGACATAGTAGTGAGGTCTGCATCCTTAAGGATAGCTGCAAGAAATAAATAACTTATGTTCGTTATGTTATTCATATTTTACATGATGTTCAAATACATATATTAATTATAATACAATAAAAATGATAAATAATAATTGCATTAATAATTGATATTTATTTTATAAATTATTTTCGAAGAGGGAAAATCACAAAACCCTGTACAAAGCATATCAAATCTAGGGTAGTGTAGTTTCCCGCGCCAGGAGGCTAGTAAATATTGAACGTAAATGGCCGCTGTTATATCGTGCCGGTTGCTGATTGTCCGTATCGCAAAGAAAAAAATTTCTGAAAGTAAACTGCATAATGCTAATTTATAAAGTTAATTGTGTTTCTAAAACTGCCACCTTTGCATTGGCGGATCGATCGCTGAACTCGTTGAACCGTAAACTAGTGGAAAATCGGTAAAAGTTCAAACTTGTATAAAAGACAAAGATTATAGGCGATCGGTAACAGGATGTGCGTGATACGAGAATAATGCACGAAGTAAAAAATAGTCGAAGATGAAAATTTAATGTCGGAAAAGATTAATCGTCTATCGTACGCATTACGATTATTCGGGACGGCGGGAAAAGGCATAAGCTGGTGTTGTTTCGCGGTAACGGATCACACGTCGAGCCTATAAACGCTTCAAGGAATATTCGAGGAACGATGCTATATTTGGATAGGTAAAATAAAAAAAACTGAAGTAGAATTCGTCGAAATATTGTAGAAAATGAGAGCACGGTCCATGTTAAGATCGCTTTTCACGGCGCAAAAGACAGCGATGTCGAGAGAAAGAACGAGATACGAAGCATGCGATGGCTTCAGGCGCGCGCCACCACAGCTTAGACGCGTCATACAGCATACTATAGAACAAGGACAGGGAAAGCGTCCATTTCTAGAAAACCGACGAGAAATAGACATTTTCTCAAGGCATCGAAAAATTTTGTAAAAAATTCATGAACGGATTACACGGAGCATTTAGACGATGCAATATTCCGCTAACGTTGTACGTAGATGAAAATACGATGTCTCACGGTTGTAATGGCCGGCGTGGGACACGCCACTTCGTCGCATACGTGCGCGCTAAAGTCGTCACTTCGCAAGAGTAAAGAGCTCGATTTCCTACGTATTTCTACTCGCGAATGTACGGATAATTTGTAGTACTAATAATTACAAGCTTAATTTTACAATATACGCGGATCAGAATTCGGTAAATCAAAGGATTTTAGCACTTACCGGTGATTTCTTTGCGAAGCTCTTCGTTTGAAATATCAGCCATCGTGATGTTTCTCCTTGTGCGAACTGCTGCCAACTGAACCTACGCCGGCTGCGGACTCCCGTAACGTCCGTTGATACAGTCACTCCGAAGAGTGAATCGATACACGATAGGTTTAGGAAACTTGTAATATGGATAACTTCTCAGGAACGCATTAAAAACGAATAATATATACACCAAATCGTATTAGTTTTTTACGAGCTACAAGTTTCTCATGACGCCCCACTCGTAATTTTGCGATCGAACAACCCTATTTCAACGTTCTGCCGATACGCTGGTGGAAACGTTTCAATCGGGACTGTACTCGAAGCGACCGCTCGTGGCTGCCGGTGGCGTCTACGGTACAGTCGGTTCGTACGCGTACCGTTGTTTCTTCTAAAGAATATATTTTCAAAAATCCATAACATTTTTCCCCGACACTTTACAGGGATATTGTATACACCAAATCGGGTCAGTTTTTTTTTCTCTACAATTTTCTCATGACGCCCCTTGCGCAATATTGTGATTTAACCGATCGAAATATGATTTTTCATAATCGTTTGCGTAATTTTATCGAAATGGACTGTACAAACCAACCACTCCGAGATTCGGAACGTCGAGCGTATAGTCGCATCATATGACAATCAGCATACATTCTACAGATATGCCAAGAAAAATACTGATTTACTGAATATCGGACGCGATTTGAATTACGTTATGCAAAACTAGCTATCAATAACGTCATTATCGACGTAGACAAACATTTTTTTTTTGTTATATATCTATCGTATCATCTGCATCGCGAACTTCATTATCTTTATCTATAACAATTTCTAGCATTCTGTTTACGAAATAAGGAATTTTGCGGGACAATAGCATGCAAATATAGGAGATTGCATGCTTGCGTATACTGCTAGGCGAGTTTATATAACAAATATTTATTTATCGTATCTAAAAAAAATAACACATTCGCATATAATTGTACCCAATCAGTGCGATATTTTAATAGGCCGCGACTGTCGAAGCGACCACTTGGTTTCTTCCTCGCGTTAGTGGTACAGTAACAATAGACATGTTCGAAAGGATGCTTCCGATAAATGATATTTGAAAATTCATAACTTTTTAACCGTTCATCCTAGACAAACGCTGTATTTACAAAATCGTGTTAGTTTTTTACGAGGAAAATGTTTCTCAGGAAGCGCCTTCCTCGATTTTACCATCTTACGCTTCTTGCTGGCATGCTCAATGACTTTGTAGCAAATCGTTTTCATGTTGACTGTACGCAATCCGGTAGGTTGGTCGCAGGACAAATTTCTCGATAAAATCCCATATAAATTTGTTTCGGAAAGTTCATAAAAATACATTGAAATTTTTTTCAAGGCGATCTACGCGTTTACATTCTTTTATTTTAGCTTAAATAATATATTTACTGATGACACGTCGAAACATAGTGCCGCCACGGGTGTTTGAACGCTTTAAAATGGCGCTTACATTTTTACCCGATTCTACCGTTTGTCATCAGTTACTATTTCAATTGTTCTATAGAAACAAACCATTTATAACTGGTAGTTGCCATTGTCATATTATGTATATAAGATGTACGAAAAATCGTAATCTTTTGAATATAAATAAATAATATTACAAGGTTTTACTAAAAATATATTGTTTTCCCTCGCAATCTTTGATCACTTCCGGTGTAACGATATTATTACGTTCGCAATGAAAAATTATTAACTAATTTTTCCATCAAAATTGATCGAATGTTTAATAACGCATTACGAATACAATTTCTCGTGGTTCAATTATAAATTTGTTATATTCTTGTTATGCACGGCACACAGGTTATAGTTACACATTCGTCTTGGAAATATTGATATTTTCAGGCAACAGTTCGTTTGCCTCGCCATCTAGCGAGCGATATGCAATTCGTCACCAATAAATATACACAACACAACTAAAAATTATCATACTTCATTTTTTCCCCATTTACATAAAGATGTTTGCCACCGTTCAGGTTCATTTATTTTTATTATCATCAATAGTTAATAAATAAAAAACATTCAGTTTTACCATTTACGTATCACATATTCCTACAACAACTGGGTCCCAACGGTAGGTAATACCGGCACCTCTACCGCTAGATGACTATGGTGTATCGTGTCTATGAAAGCTGTATTCATTGACTTTTACGAAAATGGAACAAGTGGCGCCATCTATTCATCTCAATAGCGAGATGGCGCCACTTGTTCCGTTTTCTTAAAAAGCAATTAATATTGATTTTATTGATTAATGTACTATATATTTATTAATATTGATTTTATGCTATTTGCAATATATTCAGAGGGTCCGAAGATACGTATTACGTGTTCAGAACAATTTGCACGCTATACTGTGTCTCGTCGATGATGTAGGGAATGACATAAGTTTTCTTTCGAGCCGCCAAAAACCATTCTCGCAAATATTTTCGTTTGGAAAAAAGAACTTATTTGCAAAACTTGGTCGATATCGGAGCATGACGGTTTTCCGAAGTTCCGCCGAAATGTCTTCTTCGCTTTGGTTACTTTCGTAGCTTCCTGCTAGATGGTTCCAGGGGTACTGTTTTAAGAGCGCGAATAGTATAAAGTTAAGAAACACGAAAACGACGTTTGCACGCAACGTTTTATTTGATACGATTAATTACATCAGATTACTACGAAATTCCCTAACGTTGCTACAAATTAACTATATACGCACTTTTATTAAGAATATAAGGATTATGCGGAATATGTAACGGACAGTGCATGGTAATTTATAATAACTTATTTTATAAATAAATGGATTGCGAAGTAGAAGACAATGCTTCTTTAAACACTGTAACTTGATATTACATGCTTTTTAAATATTCCATTCCTTCGAGAAGCGTTAGAGCAATATTCGCAAATGTATCGCAAAGTAATTTACATGGGCGGACCATTCACTGATTTTTAAATTACATTTTGTATTACGAAAACGTCGCAGTAAAGATTCGAGTTCGTTAGTTTCGTGAGTTGCATTTTCCAGGAATTGGTTAAATCCAGATTCAAGGGTGTACCTATGACACGGTAACAATATCGTACACGTAATCTCGTCTATAACGCTGATTTCCCGTATTTACTATCTAATCAACCGTAATCATTTTGCCCGATGCAGTGTACCGAGGCATACAGTCTTCGACAAAATCACTGGCACAGATGAAATTTTGGACGATGCGAAGATAGTATGACACGAATCATCCAGAGAACGCTTACTATATTCCAGAGATTACCAACGCGTCAGTTCCAACTTATTGGTGCATCGCGTTAAATATTAAAATATGCGAAACTGTAAAGCAGCGTAGCGATAATTTTTGTTTGATTCCCTCTTTCTTTTAAAATATCTATTACAAGCGAATGAGTCAGGAAAGTTTTCGAAAGAGCGTGTCGACTCATAAAAGTTTGGGAAGTACTGCTCTATACCTCGTCTGTGACACCGTAGAATGTACAAGAACGTGTTCAAACGATCGCTCGTTTGATAAAAAATCGAGTAGATGTCGCTGAAATGCGGACACACTTATTTTCTATGAATTTCATGTTTTAGAACGCAACGTGGTGGTGTGGTGATGGTGGTGGTGGTAGTGGAGCGCAACTATAAGTTGCGTTATTATTGCTATTTGGTTGTACCATGACCTCCTTTTACATGGCGCATATGCAGTCGTACTAACCGAATGTGAAAACATCGCCTCGAAAATTAAATGGCAATGTTTTATTCACGACAGATCAGCCGATAGAGATTAAATGGACGATTCAATCAACAAAACACCGGTTAATAATAAATCGTTGAAAACTTTTCAGCTCGTCGCTTCATCGTTACAAATTTAAATTGTTATAACATTTATAACAACCTTCGATTCACGAATTCGTTCAAAGTTAAACGAAAGAAGGTAAACTATTGAAGCTTAAAATTAAAACTATGTTTTTTACAAGGTAGGACGCGTTTATGAAATTTGTAGTTCGTATCGAGGAATGGAGAAAATTTAGATACGATGAAAAAGAATTGTACTTATGAATGTTCGGTAAAGTCGAGGCAACTCAGCCTGTCAGGCTCGCTACCGTAATATTCTACAGAAAAATCGAACTTTTCTAAAAGACTTGCACGTTGTTTCTGTTTGAAGCGCAAATACATTGGAGCCTCGTTATACCGCGATACTCGATACGCGTCTGAAATGCTGTCACGGATACAGGCCGACTTAAATTTTCGATGAAACGACGCGTAGGTGTATGAATTTAACGCATACACCGCGTTCGACGGCGTGTAAATGTGAATCGAATGGATATCGGAATGATTTCTCACGATACACGTGTACGATTGGCGTGTTTGGTGTGCGTGTTCCTCAGACACACGCGTATTCTATTTGCACGCGCGAATACGTTCGCTTAAATGTTCGTGTGTGTCTCCCTCTCACCCTTCGCGTTTATATACGATCGTCTAGCAGCGGGTCGTCACGTGTACGTGTCAAAATCAATATTTGGCGTTACTAGGTTATGATAACACTGCACCGTGCCGTCGATGCTCGTGTGTCTTAGAGGACACACGAGTAGTGAAATTCGCGAGCGAGCGCACTTTCGTTATCGTCGCATTTCTCCTTGTTTGCTCTTTAGCGTAAACGCGTCCGTCAACAAATTCGTTAAGGTTTCTTTCGATGCACTCGCTCTAGCAAAGAACAGAAGTACACTTCGCAAGAAAACATTTAAGATCAAATCACAGGATACGTTAGGCGGACAAGTTCTTGCGAGAAAGTTGGTACATATCGCGGATGATCCTTCTGATGACGGGTTCGCCAAGTATTATCGCATCGTATTTACGCGTCTCAACGATTTTACGACTCTTCGAACACTTTCTAACTTATACACCTATTTATTGGTATAGATTTTTTTTCGAAGATACGAGAACGAAAGCTTTAGATACTGTTCTCTGTTTCGTACTTGTCCGATTCGAACGATCAAACTTTCTTAATGGAATGATAATTTGCCTAAACAATCCTCGTTGATCAATTTTGTTCGAGAGATAAACAGACTTTGAAGGATTCGTATA